GAATGCCTTTGCTGTTTTGCCTTTATGTTTTCCATGAAATTTTAGAATCATCTTGTCAGATCACACACAGACATAAAGCCTATTGGGAATTTGACTGGAATTGCGTTGATTTAGTTGCATTGGATTAATTTGGATTTAATTTTTTTAATCCTCACCTTAGGGTATGTTTTTATTGATTTTATAGAGAGAGGGAAGGGGAGAGAAAGAGAGAGAAACATCACTGTGAGAGAAACATCAATCGGTTGCCTCCCACAGCCTTTTGGTGTGTGGGATGAAGCTCCAACTAAGTGAATTACCTGGCCAGAGCCTAATTTGGATTTTAAAGTGATTTCTTTCAACATCTTGTTCCTAAGTATTATGTTTGCTGTAGGTTTTTGTAGACAAAGGAATTTCCTTCTTACCCGAGAGTATTTTTTCCATTGATTTTAGAGAGTAGAAGGGGAGGAAGGGGAGGGGGGAGAAGGAGAGAGGGAGAGAGAGAGAGAGAGAGCGCACTGGATCTGAGGTTGAGGGAAACGATCAGGCCTGTGGTGTTTGCCTGACTGTGGACTGTACCACCTAAAGCAGGTGATTTGCAAAGAGCACTCAGGAGAAATAGGGTTGCAGATGCTGAAAGGAGAAGGAATCTGGTTTAGGATTTGTTGAGCTTGAGATGCTGGTGAAAGACGCTCGAGGAAAGCTAGCAGGCAGGCAGGGAAACCGATCCTGGGACAGTGCATCTTTCCAGCTCTGAGGTCCAGCTGGTGATGCTGTTGGAAAGAACAGTAACTAGTCTTTTTGTGCATCTCCTATGGGCCAGGTCCTTGGGAAACATTTGGTAGTCATATCTCACTTAAACTTATGCCTTTAATATAGTTATTATTACCCTCATATTATAGGTGAAAAGGCTGAGGCTCAGGGAGATTAAACGTGTTAGCTAAAAATGTTTCTGTGTTATATTTGCCTAAGTAACGGCAAATTTCTTGTCAGATCATGGCATCACCTGAAGTGAATGTTAAAAATCTCAGAATGCCAGGCCCCTATGCAGTCAGAGCCTCCAGGAAAGAAGCCATGGGCGCATATTTTTAATGCACAGGTTACGTGATTTTTAAGCTCAGTCAGGCCTCGCAAGAACTGATCTCAGAGCCATCTGTCCAGTTCTGAAGCCGCGCTCTTAGCCCCTGTGCAGCAGCGGGCTTTTTGATCAGCTCTGATCTTTGTGGTTTGTGGAAAGACATTGTTTTAATAGAGAGCAGGAGATTTAGAAAGTACCCTGTAGTCCTGTGAGGTCAGTTTTATTAGTGGTTTGGGAGAAGGGAAGGAAACTAGTACTTACTCAGTGTGTGCTAGCATTTCTCTAGGCAGTGAATGTTATTCTAATTTTTTAGTGAGAATATGGGGCCTCAGCTAAATTTATCCAGGGCCATAGAGCTGGTAAGTGACTAAGCCAAGTTTCAGATCTAGAATCATCTAATAGTGAAAATAGCTAACACTTATTTAGCGCTTAGTCTGTTACCAGGCTTCTCTGTGTATTATTTCATTTATTCCTCATGGTAATTGTGTGGAGAACGTTTTTATCATTATTCTGATCTTACTGATCCGAAACTGAAGCGCCTGGAGGTGACGTTTCCCAATTTCACACCCGAGGCGATGGGGCAGGCTGTGGATGCCGGCCTCGGGTTGGCTCCCACGCATTTCACCACTGCCCAGTACTCATTTGACTGGCCCCCGACTTGTGTCCTTTTCAGTTTTGTACTATTCAGCATGTTGACCTTGATTTTAAAAACAATAACAAACTTACATTTGTTAATGCAAATTCATACACAATCTAGCACATTGCTTTTGGTGTGTTCAGAGGTAAGCTGATTTCATTACGTCTTTTTTAGCTCCGTCAGCATGCAGGGTAGCTCCAGGAGAACGGGCACCATGACTGATGTCCACCGGCGGTTCCTCCAGTTGCTGATGACTCACGGAGTGCTGGAGGAATGGGAGGTTAAGCGCTTGCAGAAGCACTGCTATAAGGTCCATGACTGTAAGTATCGTTTTCCTGTTCCCAGGAGGCTCTGGAGCTGTGTGATCAGGGACTAGTGACATTGGTATAATGCCAGGTAACCAGTCAGCCCATCCTCCTGACTTGGCCATTCAGGGCTCTCACAATCTCCCTTCAGCCCATCTTTCAAATCTCATCTTTGACTTGTTTTTAAGTAAATCTTACACTTAGCTCAGGTTAGGTAAGACTTGGCCTCTGAAGCAGTGGAGTCATGGTTCACAGCCGGGCTCCAGCACCGCCTCGAGCCTGAGTTTCTTCACCACGAAACGGGGAGAATTCATTGTACTTGACGTACTGTGGTTCAGAGAGTTAAGAGACACGATCCATAAAGAACACCTGGCACAGGAAAGTGCTGAGTTGGCTATTGGTAGTCAGAGGGCAGCTTAGCATAGTGGTTCAGGGCGCAGCCTGGGACGTGGCCATCCCTGGAGAAGTGCCTTCCTGCTTTGCTGGCCGTCGGCATTGGAACATCTCAGCGGTTGTTGGGAGGGTAAATAAGATAATCCATGTGAAGCTCTTAGAGACAGGACCGCGGGTGTGTACTAAGTTCAGCAGCTGGAGGTTTCAATAAAGCAATGGGATCAATGTTGATAGATTGATAAAATCAGTATTAGGTCTTGTCGAGTGTCAGCCTGGGTAGGTCTTATGGAGTGAAAAGGAAATTTTATATTTTTAATATTTATTTATTTATTGTTAATCCTCATCAGAGGATATTTTCCCATTGATTTGCAGAGAGGGTGTAAGGGAGAGATACAGAGAGAGAAACATCGATATGAGAAAAACACATTGATTGGTTGCTTCCTGCATGCACCCGGACCAGGGCCACAAATTGAGCCTGCAACTGACGTATGTGCCCTTGACTGGAATTAAACCCGGGATACTTCAATCCGGGGACTGATGCTCTATTCATTGAGCCAAACAGGCTAGGGTGGGAAGTTTATAAATTATACGTGTTGTATGATGTCGTTGTGTTAGGTTTTGTGTAAAACTTAGTGATTTTTATTGTTCATGAGTGCATACATCTGCATGTGAAAATATGGAAGTGGACTGGAAAGATGTGCAGCATACTCACATGCTTGCCTTTGGAGAGAGGAGGAGAGGAATAGGCTTCTCAACAGAAATCAAATGACTTCATCTTTACCCTGTTCTGTTCTTTTATTGTTAAAAACAGACTTGAGGCAAACATGGCATTATTATTATTATTATTATTTTTTAAATAATTTTTATTTCTTGAAGTAAAAGAGTATTTATTACATATGTCTCCTTTCTTATTCCTTTTGCCCATTTCTCCCTGTAGTCTTTGTCCTTCTACCTAATAGAAGTGTCTTGCTTATGAGGGTGAGGAGAACAGATTTTTGTGGATGACCTGCTGCTGTCCCACACTGCTGGCATTAGTGGGATAAATGTTCATATATGATTCAATCCTGTCTTTGCTGAATTGGCTCAAGTACTGACAGGCAGCCCAAATCCAGTTGGTTATCTGGTTTCACAGTAGTGTGTGAACAGGTCCCGCCCTCACCGGGGCCTTCGCCGCCTCACTGGGGCCATCCCGACCTCGTGGGGGCTATTTCAGCCTCTCCGGGGCCATTTCAACCTCACTGGGGCCGTCCTGACCGCACCGGGGCAGTGTCAACTTCACTGGGGCCATCTCGATCTCTCCGGGAGCGTTCCGACCTCACCGGGGCCGTCTCAACCTCTCCGGGGCCGTCCTGACCTCACCGGGGCTGTCTTGACCTTGCCAGTGCCATACAAGCCTCACCGGGGAAACACGAAGTTTGGCACTCTGTCCCCTGTTGGGTGGCTCCCCACCAGACAAAATCTCCAGCCGTTCCTGGTGGCTGAACATCCAGCATGCCTGCTCGGACTTTGCCCTCCACCAAGTGCACAGACTGCCCTGTCGGGCCTTTTCATCCTCCCTGGGGCTGTCCCGACCTCACCGGGGCCGTGGGCCGTTTCAGTCTCACTGGGGCCGTCTCTACCTCACCGGGGCCGTTTCAACCTCACCAGGGCTGTTTCAACCTCACCGGGGCCATCCCAACCTCACTGGAGCCGTCCCGACCTCACCGGGGCCGTATTGACCTCACCAGTGCCGTCTCGACCTCACCGGGGCCATTCCGGCCCCGGATGTCGTCTCAACCCCACCGGGGCCATTCCAACCTCACCTGGGCCATTTCGGCCTCACCGGGGCCGTCCCAACCTCACTTGGGCCATCCCGACCTCACCGGGGCTGTCTCGACCTTTCTGGGGGCATCCTGACCTCACCGGGGCCGTTTCGGCCTCACCGGGGCCGTCCTAGCCTCACCAGGGCTGTATTGGCCTCACTGGGGCTGTCCCGACCTCACCGGGGCCGTCCCAGCCTCACCGGGGAAACACGAAGTTTGGCACTCTGTCCGCTGCCGGGCGGCTCCCCACCAGACAAAATCTCCAGGTGTTCCTGGTGGCTGAACATCCAGTACGCCTGCTCGGACTTCGCCCTCCCCCAGGGTCCCACGCGAGACTGGAACCGGTGGGCATGCTTGTGCACCTGCTGGTACAGCGGTTCCACATCGCCGACCCAGCCGGGCCCGGCCCTGGGCTGCCCCGAACCCGACTCCACCACCCGAGTGCGTCCCTTTTGGATGCGAGGAGCAGAATCTGCAGCCTGCTGGGTTGGGCTCTGTACTTGGTGTCTCTGCACATCCTACTCAGTCTCAATGCTCTTCTTTCTTTCCTTCCAGTTGTAGAGCCTCCACTGGGCCAGCTTTCCCATGTTCTGTATGAATAGCTGTTTGTCCTATAGTTGGTAGTTTCGATGTTGTGGGAGGCAGCACGCACAGGTCTACTCCCTACGCCGCCATCTTGGTTCCCACTTAGTTGTATTTTTGAAGTGGTTGTTCGAGGCAGCAATCTCTGGTGTTTACCTATGCCGCCATCTTGGTTTCTTCCAAAAATGCCTTTTTTAAAAAAGGTATTTTTGTCCTCACCTAGGGCCCCATACATTTTCTCTTATGCTTCTTTCCTAAAAGATTTGTAATTTTAGGCTTTACATTTAGATCTCTGATCCATTTTTGAATTAATTTAGGTACATTGTGCGAGGTATGGGACAAAGTTGTTATTTTTGTTTGTTTTTGCCTGTGGATATCCAGTAATTCTAGCACCATTGTTGAAAAGACCATCCTTTACTGTCTGGGGCCTCAGAGACCCGCCCTGAGCAAGCCGATTGAAAAAAAAAAAACACGCATCCAGTTGCAGCCTGCATGGCATGCGACTGTGTGCCTCTGTTTTTGGCGCCTCTGTAACTCCCACTCAGTCTCACTGCGCTTCTTTCTTTCCTTCCAGTTGTAGAACTTCCACCGGGCCAACTTCCCCATGGTTCTGAATGGTGGTTGTTTGTCTTATAGTTGGTAGTTTCGATGATGTTGTGGGAGGCAGCACGCACAGGTCCACTCCCTATGCCGCCATCTTGGTTCACACATGGCATTATTAGTTTAGTCTAATGGCTGTCACTTGTGATGAATGGGAATATAGGTTTCTATGCTATGTTTTTGTATTTTCTCTATTAAAATTATTTTTTAGTCCTCACCTGAGAATATGTTTTTTTATTGATGTGAGAGAGAGAAGAAGGAAGAGAGAGAAAAAAAACCATCAAAGTAAGAGAAAAACATTGATCAGTTGTTTCCCCCACGGGCCCCGATCAGGGATCAAACTCAAATCCTGGGCATGTGTCCTGACCAGAAATTGAAGCCCCCACCTTCTGGTGTACAGGATGATGCTCCAACCAATTGAGCCACACAGGCCAGGACCTCTCTCTATTTTTAATTGTTAGAAGAGTGGAAAAAAGATGTGAGCCAAGTCAAGAGGGGTGAGGAAAGGTATGGGAGAGGCTTCAAGCACCTAGGTGAAGGGACACAAGGCCCAGTGTCACCTTTGGAGAACTGCAGTCTGCGGCATGATAGGGGCGGAAGCCAGGTCCCAGGGTGGAGGAGTGTGTGCGTCAGGAGGGAGAGAGTACAGAAACAAGTCCATTCATGATATGCAGAAGGGAGATGGAGAGGGTGGTGGGTTATAGAAGAGGCACGGATTGAGCCACTGGTCCATTGAGGTGTTCTGTGGGGAATTCTGGGAGCTTTGTTATACATCCACAAATAAAGGCTTGACAGGTCTATAGTAAGGAAACCTGTTTACCTTTGTTAATCCTGTGTATCCAAACTTAACTGACAAATAACAGGCTTCAGGAAACCCTAGATAAAACTATATGATGTGTGGGAAGAGAATAAGTTTTTTGTGTGTAAGGTTTACAGATCTGGAAAAACCCATAGTATGTATACCATAGTAGTGGTTTTTTCTTTTGGTGTGTGTGTGTGTTTTAATCCTCACCTGAGGGTATGATTTAATGATTTTGGAGGGAGGGAGAGAGAGAGAGAGAGAGAGAGAGAGAGAGAGAGAGAGAGAAGAGAGAAGAGAGAAGAGAGAAGAGAGAAGGGAGAAACATAGATCCGTTGCCTCCCACATAGGCCCTGGCGTGAGGTTGAACCCACAATCTAGGTATGTGCCCTGACCTGGAATTTTTTGTTTTTGACCTGGAATTGAATGGGGTGATGCTCCAACCAACTGGGTCACCTGGCCAGGGCTACCATAGTAGTGTTGTTCTCTCCTCTTAAATCTGTAGACAGTGTGGACTTCCAGGAGGATTTGAAGGTAGAAGTGACAGAATTAGTGCTGTGTTTGGGAACTCTCCTGGTGAGAACATGTCTGCTCTAAGTGCCTGCACTGTGGTGGACGGGGTCTTTGGTGAGAGCCTCCTTCATGGAATATTACACCTGTCAAGCTAGCTTCTCTTGCTTTTTAGAAAGCACAACAGGACTTTAAACATACCCCTCAGTATTCTTCAGTGATGGGCATAGCAGGCTTTTCTTGTCTCTATGTAACAATTCATTCCTTCTCCCATTAGTATCTTATATATGTCCCGGATATGAATGTTACTATAGATGGGGAAGTTTCAT